CTATTATGATGGAACACCGCATGAAGATTTTATTGAACGCCCAAAATAAAGGGCTACATACAATCCACAAGAGAAAAACCTATATCTTTCTTTTTTTTAAAAAAAATTCTAATATCTCTACATTTTACGTGCGAGAGCAATACGTGGCTCTCGAGCCTGCGTTTGAAACAATGCCAACATATTCATATTATTTTTTTAAACAATTAATTCAACTATTGAAAACGTATTCGGAAGTTAAATAATAATAATATTCATTTTATGCTCTCGAAACATCCTTGTCCATATTAATCTTCAGTTTCTTCTTCCTTTATGTGACCTTATCACACCACACTATACTCTGCTGGTTCGATTCCGGAGTGAAATGCATTATCCGCGTTTCACTGCAGGTAACAATACGGTCCAGGAAACTTTCTTCCTTCTCGGCATACCGTTGCAGATGATTCACTGAAGCAATCAATCGCTTGTCTTTCATCATGTCATCTAACTGCTTAGGCACTCACCGACATGAAAGCTTCTTCTACTCTAAAGACCTATAAACGATGTCGTAAACACTCCCATACGAAATGCTAAGCTCCCGAGAAATGTCCTTCAGGTGCATAGGCCGATCCGCTTTCATCATTGCATCAACGCTGGAAATGTTGTCCTCACTCAGTGAAGAATGCGGCCTTCCCAAACGCTCATTGTCATAGAGGTCTTTACGGCATTTTGCGAACTCACAACACCACCACCCAAAGCGAGACACTTTGCCTCATACGTAGGCTGCATTTCCCTGTAAATTTCGATGGGCATTCGTCCTTTGCTCCATAGAAAATGCTGTCCCCGTGTGAAACACAACCATTATTTTCGGCAATTCACAGTAGCGCTGTGCCGAGGAGTTTAGCAGCAGATAAGGCTGGACCGGTTTATGAAAGGTCCATCACTTGGAATGAATGTGTTGACTTCATTTACAGCCGTAATTTGGCTAAAAAATAGGGGCGAAGACTTTCTGATTTGCCCTCGTATTACTGTTTACCACCCCTCGCGTAATGGCAAAGTTGATGGCATTCATAGAACATTAAAAACAGCCTTAAAAGCTCACAACAACCTATCTTGGAATGACCCATTACCAACAAAACTTTTGGTTTCGGATACTGCTATCCAAGAAGATACAAATCATTCTGCTGTGTAATTTATGAACAGACAGTCAGACTGGAGAATTTATCAGCGAGCCAAGTATCCAGACAGCATCAGAGACTTACAGAAACAGATAGAAGTCGTCGAACCCAGGTAGATTTGTAAAAATTTATCTCAACAAATATTTTTATACAAAGACTTCAAAAACTGTTCTCGTGGATTTCAGCGAATAGGTCGAGTAAAAAAAACTGTGGAACCTCCTTAGGAAGAACCATTTCCTGCCATTGGTAGCAAAGATAAATATTTTTCTATTAGCTTAAAAAGAATTCATGTATCCCTCGACTGCATGAAACCAGTTTATAATTTAGTTTAGGGAAATTCTCACTCTACAGAACCTGGCAACAACGAATTGTACAAACCGGTCTCAATCCAGAGATGTGGATAAAAAATATTCTCGCACAGGTAGAACTGTTACGCTTGCCTGTCAGATTCAAGCATTTTATTTAAACTCTTCTGACAGTGATAATTTTTTGACAATAGTTAACATTACAATGCTAATCACTACCTATTTTTGAGTCTTCGTAATGTAACTTAGTTCTTTGTGAGGGAGTAGTGTAAAGGTTAGCGTATCAGTAATAATTATTTTTATTTTAAGTATTTTATACAATTTTCAAGTGCATTTTTAACTTCAAGTATTTTCTCTTTGGACGTATTTAATTATTTTGGAAAATTAACTTTAATGCTTTGTTATTTTTCATATTTATATTTCTTTTATGTTGAATAGCAACAAGTCATTCGTGACAATTTTGTTTTTTAATTTTTTATTCCATTGTTTATGTCATTCTAAGTATCAGCTCACAAATAAAAAGTAGTAAAATTTGCTAATCGATAGTGCTTCTTGCTGTTTCTAAATTGTAATTCGATTTGAATGCCGGTAGTGAAAGACTATAATGTCATTCGACGACCATTTCAGTTGTAACAAACCTGCAATAATGTTAACTAAATCGGTAGAAAATAAGGTGCATGATGATGCAAATACCCATAATTCTACATTGTAGAAATTAAAATCCATTCCAAAATTTAACAAAGCAAAGCAAAAGCATACTACTTCTTGAGTATTTATGTCATTATCGTAGTCCATTCCAAAAATTATTATATTCTTCAAATCATTATTTACATTTACTAATACTTCGAATTACATTATCAGCAGAAAGTAGCATTTAAACCGAAAACAGAACTTTATTATTGTGTAAAGATTTATATTTATTTTAACTAATAATTTAAAGTTTTACTTGAAACTTTCCTATAAGCCTTCATTCCCCTAATTGTCAGTGCCAGAATAGTTAAATGTTGTAGCGCGCGTGAACGAATACAAATTTTCTATTTTGAAGGAAGTAGTTAAAAGCCGAGTTTCAGTAGGAGAAAAGAAAGAGTTAGGCTTTAGCTGCCGTCTCTGCCGTAGGTACGTTGCTTATTGCTGTTCCAGTGGCTTAATTGCATTGCTTTCTGCCCCTAGTTTAGAAAGGGGTAAATTACGGGATCTCGCTGAGCTCTGTAAGGCTATTTTATCACTTGTTAATATTTCAACTTTTAGTTCAATATCTGACTTCAGTTACTGTCCAGTAGGCGAAGTTTTTAGCGTCGAGTTACGCATTGTAAATTTTTAAAGAGTTAATAAGGGTTGTGAACCCCTTCTCCTGTGTAGTTTCCTGCTCCTCCAGTATACAGATAGAAGTTAACCCACCTGGACTCTACAATTGTAATGAAAAAACATCTATTTTCGATAAGGTTTTAGGTTTATTTAATTACGGCAAAGCACACAAAGGCTACCTGTCTAAAGAAAGAGGAAGGACTTTCTAAGGGAAACTGGCTGATATACACGTTACACATGGGGAAAATCACAAAAACGCCCATGCAGCCAGCCCGTTCGCCAGAATTCGAACTCCAGACCGAAATTCTGTGTTCAGCGACTTTACTGCTCGGCTGCTAGTGGACGCCCATTTTCTATAAGAAACTTGGTCTTACTGTTCACAATACAGTGACCCTCAAAGTGTTCGAACACTTTGAATTCTTTTATGAAAAGAGCAGTATACACAGATTTAGCAAATTTTAATCGCATTTTTAAATACAATTTTTATTTTATTCCTAACAAAATTTTGTATAGGATATACTTAAATAACAAATTTAAAATATTTAAAAATAAAAATATATGTTCATAAAAATTGTAGGACACTGAGAAAAACTGCCAAAAATGTCGAAAATTATTAACTTTTAAAAAGTGTAAGATTTAGCGCATCCTTTTGCGTCTAACAAGTGTCCAAGTATTTAAGTCCATTGAATACTAGGAGTTGAGTTCGACCCCACTTCAGTTCTAACAAACGTGGTTCGCGGTTTTCTCTGCGTGTAACGTGAATACGAGAGAATTAACCTTAGAAAGTTCTACAGGACTGCGTCCCTGCTCTTACTAAGATAACCCTCTTGTAATTGCACATTCAAATAGCTTAACGTAACCATTTCTTTGCTCATATTACCCATTGCAAACATTTGACATTGAGTGGAACTAACATTTTCGGAACTTCTCTCACAATGTTATCCTATTCTTTTAATTGGATTTTTGGTAAAGTGCTATCCTAATTCGCATCTCTAGTTTATCTCTCAATTTACTTCTGAATTTCAAAATAAAAATCTTAGAGGTTTTTCTTACTTTTAAACCATTTTTCTTGCTAAATGACTTAGCTATTTACACTGATCTGAAACATCTTCTGGCAGTTTAAGGGGAAACTGATGTATCAAATCGGGAATAAAATCTTGCAGAAAAATTTACAGGACATAAACGTGGATTTGTTAAAATGCTTCTAAGTAAAAAAAAAAAAAAACCTTGATAGTGCAGAGTAAATTTTAGTGAATAAGGAATTCTTTTTAAATTTAGAATTTTGCTTTCACTTTGAATAATTTTTATGATGCTAAATGTATTCGAACGCATTAGCTTTCTAAATACTTGTGACATTTTTCAAGATACTGTGGCATGATGTCATGAATAACACAGAGCATTCTAATTTGAATTTATTCGCATAATAATCTCAGACGATTTTTAAAACTATTTACATGACTTAAACCAAATATTTTTAATTCCAGTTTTTCTGAACGACTTTTGTAAATCTTAATTTCTCTAAAAAGAATGACATCCTAAATCCTATTCTTCTAGTCTGATTAATTTTCATTTTTAAAACTGTTAAATTACTATTTTAATAAATGTCATATATATATATTTAATAAATTTAATATATCTGCAAGAAATCGATAAAAATATTATTTAAAAACTACGTCTGAAAAACTCTAATTTAACTACTATATGCAAAGTTATGCAAGTTATTTTATAGCATAATCGTAGGTGTTCCGACACCAATGTAGATACATCTTATTTTTTATAAAATGAGTTCTAATAGAAAAGAGTTTATATATTTGGGAGTTTCATGTTTTGTTTCTTTATATTATATAGTTTTATCTACAATGCGTGTTGTTTAAAATTTTATGCTACTTAGATAACTAACATAAAAATTCAAAATTTAAGGTTGAATTGATTTTTGACATTTTCGTTGTCTGTCAGATTAACCAATGATGTCGAAATATTCCTTTATGAATTGCGAATTGCGAAATCATGTCTAGTGTAATAGACCAACAAAAAATTAAAATGACAATAATTGTAAATGGAAGTTATATATAAGCAAATGCATACATTTATTTAAAATATCTTTTACAGTTAATGATGTAAGTTGCAATAAAAATAATGCCAGGTTTAGAAAAAGATGCAAATTTCATTTTGCAAAAATTAAGGAATGATGTTAACGCTATAATACAAAATATATTTGTAAAACTGCAATGAAAATTACGGGTAATTTGTCTGTATAAAAAAAGAAGTTTGAGCTAATCAAAAATTAAATATGCTGCACTGTATTATAAAAACACCAATAGTATACGAAAAGTTTTTATTAGGAAAAATCGCATTTGATGAACATGAAAAATTAACTGCTTATTTATTTCAGGTAATAAAATTAAGAGAACTCATTAATCGAATTTTTTTCTAAAACTCATATCAAATGCCGTTTGGAAGAGATTTGCAGCTGTTATGTCATAGTAATGTAATACTTTCTCATAGTTAAAATTTTTTATTTAATAAGCTTTCATTAAAGTCAAATTATTTAATCTCCTAAATTAAATTTCAGTAAATAAATTATTATTGGTTCATAGTAATGGCAATAAGAACTCTTAATTTAAGTATATTAAAATAAGTTTTTTGAGGATTCATTCATTCATTTCCGATAACGCTTGTCATAGCACTTTCTATCGATTCCTTTCCGGTTGCGAAGGCTATTGCTTCCAGTTGCTCCTTTGAAAGAGTTAATGATTCGAAAAATATAACAATAAAGCCACCAATAAGTTTTGTCAGTATTAATCATTCATTCATTTTTCGATAACGCTTTCATTCATTTTCGATAATTCATTCATTCATTTTCGATAACGCTTGTCATAGCACTTTCTGTCGATTCCTTTCCGGTTGCGAAGGCTATTGCTTCCAGTTGCTCCTATGAAAGAGTTAATAATTAGGAAATATAATAATAATAAAGCCACCAATAAGTTTCGTCAGTATTATCCTTATTTAAAAATATATGGCTTTAATGAATAGAAATAGTGCTATCTGCAGAGAGAAGGCTAAATTATCTGCACATTGTCACATGACTGTGCAATCGAAAATGACACGCTGTTGAGTGAGCGTGTCCTGTAGTATACAGTGTTGCAGTTTTTTTAATCTGATCAGTGCTATTAAAATAATGGCTTTTGAGGTAAGATTTCATTTTATTAGACAGAAAATAGTCCGCAGGTGTTGAATCTGGAGGATAAGGCGGATGACAAATTATGCAGACACTGATAAGAATGGGATTGAGAGTGTAAATAAATGAGTACACAGGGTAGGACAGAGCAACTTACTTATTTAAATTTGGTGTTATGAAGCGACGGTTCCTCCAAGGAGAGTGGAAGTAGTACATTTGATAGGGCGGGGCGTATAATTCCGCTTGGTTTACCTAACATCATGAAGAGGACGAAGGGGAAGAGCGAGTTCAACGTCGTGACACCTTTTTAACGGTCGCTAAATCATCGCCACGCAACGTGCATTCCGTACCCATTTCAATATTGCCCACCGTGGTCGTGTTCCTGGCCAGTAATCGATTATTGCTTGGGTAAACAACTTCAAGGAAGCTGTTGATAGGAAGAGAAAAAGACCTGGGCTTCCACGAACAACAAGGTTACCCCAAAACGTTAACAAGGTAAGACTTTCTAAGTTACGATTCCCTCAGCGCTCTGCCTCTCAAACATGCAGCTGCTGTTGGATTGTCTGCTCGTTCTGTGAGACGAATCCTTCATGAAGAACTGAATTTTATCTCTATAAATTAGATTTGATGCAAGAACTTATTCCATGCGGTTTTGTTGCTCGAGGAAATGCATATGAGGCGTTGCTTGGCATGTTTCACGGCGCACTTGTTTTCTTTAGCGATGAGGCTCACTTCCAATTTTTTGGAATCTGTATATAAGCAGAACATGCAGTTGGAGCTCTGATAACCTCAGACGACTTCATCAGTGTCTCCTATATTCACAACGTGTGACTATTTGATGTGCCACTGTAGCAAGTTGGAATAGTTGGTCCATTGATTTTTGAAGAAAACTAACGGGCAGTTTCGATGACTTCTGACTGTTATGTTTCCTGCCCAAGCTCGACGAAATAGATGGGGGAAATATGTAATTCCAATAGGACGATGCCATGGCTCACGCAGCACGAGTGTCAATGACTGTTTTGAGGCAACACTTTCCAGGACGCTTCATCTCCTTGAGGGGCAATTTACACTGGCTAGGATGGTCGCATGATTTAGCTCCCAGCGACTATTTTTATGGGGCTATTTAAAATCACTTGTTTCAATGATAGTCAAAGGACCATAGATCGCCTGAAGAACAACATCTGTCAAGCTGTTGCAATGATTCAAATATGATATTCAAGATATTCAACAGGAGTGCTCCTATCCTAAGTCATCACTGTGAGTGATCATCATTAACTACCATTGCCTTCAAACTTCCAAAGCGCAGTACTAGTTCTTTGAACTCTGATGCTCAGATATATGAACTATGAACTTTGAACTTTACATTATTATCTGATGCTCAGATCACAAAGTGCTGTCCATACTGCAGCGCACAATTCTGTGCACATTGAACTCTGTGTAAAATGAACTCTGTGAAATCTGTGCACAATCACACAACGACACTGCCAACACAAAAATAACATAGCATTATAACTCACATCATACCCATCTTCCCAAATGCTAATGTATTCCTCCAAGCACACCAACAAATGTCAAACTGCAACATCTAATTAATTGTAACATGTTATCTGCACCTATACCAATATACCTGTACCTCAACTATCTGCACTCCAATTTATCTGTATGTGTGTTCTTCTTATCTAAATAACCTGTTACTTTAATGTAATTTATTATGTCAATAGTGTAATGTAATGACTTGATATGTAATCTTTTGTCTTTATACTCAATAAATGCCAGAAAAGTCTACTGCGATGGGGCAATACCATTTTTGCTGTAACGATGTTGTGGTGCCCTCTACACCTTTTTCTGTTCTGTTGATATGCTGGAAAGAGTTGAACGGAACTTCCGAGTCCCATTAACGCAGTGTATTGAGAATAATGGACACCATCTGTCTGATATCATCTTTGAAACTGCTTAATCATAAAATTTAAATGTTGACTATGATGTTGTTTACAGGATTAAATATATATGCGCATTACTTTTGTTCACTGAATTTCTAAGTAACCAAGTAGCTTTGCCCCACCCTGTATTATTATTACGGTCTCCAGAACAAGTTGAGCGAGTAGATAGTGAACTGCAAACTGAGCACGAGTTTTATTTTATCTTAATATCTATCAGTTATTGCAATCTTCTTAAATTATTGAAATAAATTCTTCGGAGGAATGTCGGAGTTAATTAAAAATGCAGATTTGCTGATATATTTGCTGTAGCTGTCCGCTCAGGCGGAAAAGAGGTTAGTGACTACGGTCCCGAATATCCCGAGTTCGAATATCGGAGAAAGCAATCGATGTAAATTTTCTGCCCCTTCATAGGAGGTAACGGTGACTGCCTACTAGATGCCTCCATAACAAAATGACCACCACTTCTGGCCTTACAAATGCCAAAGCGTAAAATGGCTAGTGCTCGCTCTTCAAAAAAAAAAAAAAAATTGCTGTAACTGTACATGCGATGATAATAAATCGTATACTTCTTCTTCAACTAAGTAGCAGTACTTCAACTAAGTAGAGTGAGTCTTAACATATCATGCGTCCTAATTTCTGCTCAAAGCTGTATGATTCTTTTTCCTAAAAATCTAAATGAGGATCGATATTTTCCAGACAGAACTGTAATTACAGAAGGCCGTTCACACTTTATGGAAACGATTTTGATATCTAATTTTTATGCATAAACAGCGTATTTCTTAAGAAATTTAGTTTCTTCTGATAACCTTGATTCTTTGCTATAGATCTAGCTCTAGCTCCGATTTCCCATGAAAGTAAATTCTGCTTAGCATTGTCATATCAATTTTATCTCATTCGTTTTGCGTTGTTTTCCAAAATCCGTTCAGTATTCTTGAAGGTTATTTTCAAAAAGCTCGTACACAAAGGTCTACGTACGAAAAGCGTAAAAGTCCATAGGAGAATGTCAGTTGATTTTACCGGCATTTCCTTTAATGGGATACATTTTACTCCGTTTTTTTAATTCCTTCTTTACTAAACAAGAAGCAGTTGATTTAGACGTGTGAGTACAGGCTTTCCTATATAAAGCTGGAATTTCTTCAAAAATTGGTTTCAAAGTATTTTGCTGCTAGTACAGGGAACTAATTTTATATTTACTTAAGACTTTTTTTTTTAGTTTTAATTTACCATTGTAATAAAATCCTGCAACTATTATCAAACCCCTTGGGAATTTTCTGTGCACTCATAAAGCCATACCAGTTTTTTTTTTTTTTTTTTTTTTTTTTTTTTTTTTTTTTTTTTTTTTTTTTTTTTTTTTTTTTTGTGTGTGTGTGTGTGTGTGTGTAAGTGAGCAACAGAAAATTTTCTGTTTTTTAATTAAAGTCACTTAAATATATCCATCCCTCGTCGAGGGTTACCGAAAATTTTCATTTATCAGTACCTAGTTATTTTTCATATAACTTTCTAAAATTTGCAATATGCTTTGGCAAAAGAAGATAAACTTTATGCTTAAACACCTTTTTTAACTTCAAATTTTAATGAATGTTTTTATTTACAATGCCAGAAGATATTTGCATTTCCAATGTAATGGACTTTTAAGTCTGTGAAATGTTTTCAGCATCAGGTACTTTACTTGCTTGATATTTACCCTTCCCCCCCCCCCGAGTTAAAACAGTCTTAGGATGAGATTTCACAACCATTTTTTTTTTTTTTTTTTGCTTTCAGATAGACGCCTTTTCTTTCGAATTTAATACAGTAAAATTAGCTTCTTTAAAATTCAATAACCTCGATACTATTATGTTTTCCGCGCGCAAAGTTTGTTCCTCTGAATCTTTGCTTACCAATGAACTTAATTATTTGAGAGCAGTTGCAATTGACCGTGGATTTTTCTCCGTGATTATTGATAAAGCGTAAAAAATTTTCAGATTCCCATCAAAGAAGACATCCACTGTTAGAAATAATATTAATGACCTTGTCATGCTTCCATTTTATCCTCTGTTAGCGATAAAATTGCACGGATTCTCCGAAATTCAATTTTCAAGTCGGTTTCTCCCCTATTAATAAAATTCACCCTTCGATCTAAAAGATTGCGTTTCTGTCCTTGAATTCTTGGGGAATTTATAGTTAATCGTGTCAGTGTGGGTTAAGATATTGGCCAAACAAAAAGAGCGTTGAAGTTTCGTATCAAGGAAATGAATCTTAGTCATAAAAGGTGAATTAACAAACTCTTCAATAGCGTATCATAGTTGGACATTTAACCTAATTTTGATTGAGTCTGCAAAAATTATCCAAAGGCTTCTTCCATAGGTGAATTGGATTTTCTGAGGCTTTTCTATTCACAAAGATTTAGCAGGTTAGTTAATGATTTGAAGTCCAATCCAGTCCTTCCTAATGCCTTTAAAATTCTACTATCTTAATTCAGTTATTTTTGCCGATAGATGGCGTTACCTCCTCGCTTTTTGGTAACTACCAGAGGTTATAAAAATTCGTTCGGTGGTTGCTTTCCATTATCGAAGTTCAGATTTTGAGCGTGAAGGTACAGTTTGCCCTCGCTCCCTATTTTTAACTTCGCTAATTTTTCTGTCCTTTGTTTACTGTTTGATCAGATAGCCTGGCTCAGTAAAAGTAGGCGGCCAGTGTAACTCTGATTAAAAAATCGGTTATAATCAGGTGCAGTGCTGATAAGGACCACGTGTTTCTGAGACTCCTTCCCCTTTATTTTTCTTCTTTCTAGGTATTTCTTTCTCCTGATGAGGAGGGACCTTTAGCTGCCCTCGAAATCGATTCAGTGTTTCAATATATTTACGCTAAATACAAGGTTGTTTTTACGATTTTGATTACTCGATTTTACAGTTTTTCATACAATTATATTTCCTCTAAAAGTGTGTTTACGTAAGAGTCATCCCTATATTTTAGAAGCCGTTCCTAAAATAAATCTCTTATTCTACATTCCAGTCAAAACAAAACAGTAACAGACGATTATATTGAAAATACCAGATCTTTATCTCAAAATGCTAATCAGAAAATTTAAATAGATAATCGTTTCCATAAGATGCAAACGACCTACTTTATTTCTTGAGCTAAGATTGCAGTTCATATTTAATAATTAGCATATAATAATATATTAATTGTGTTTTGTATTCATTTAAAACTGTTTCCTGAGGTACCGATAACTGCCCAGGTAGACTGAAGATTATAGACTGATTAGGGAGGACTACGATTGTGTCGATTCAGTTAGTTTATAGTGCCGATTCACTAAACATTCTCTTTCACAAACCCTCAGCGCTTCCTTTCCTTACTTTCATAAAGGGGAAAACCGGGATTTTAGGGATGTAACTGACGATCGGGGTAGCCCTTAAATTTTATTGCTGTAGGTCCGTGCCTTTTGCACCTAAACCGTAATCAGGCCCAGGGGATTATGCTAAGTCTTTATAATTTGACAAAGGAGAACTAATTTTATATTGAAGTAAATACCATCAAACGAGAATGTAAATGTTATACAATCTTAAAAATTTGAAATGTATACCTACTTCTGCATTTCGAAAATTCCATAGCATCGCACAAGGTACTCGTTCTTAGATTTTTTTTAAGTTCATAAGTAAACATCATAATCTTCATAATCATTACCAAGATTATTCATCACAAAGCACATAAACAGTTCTCCGAGTCTTACAGCTGTCAAAGCGTTGCCAAAATTCCACCTTTACCATTTAATTGAACGCTTTAAAATATCGCAGTTGTTAAATTTTTCTAAGAAAAATATTGTTATAATGTGCCTGATCACATGTTGATTATTTAGATTCAAACTTACTCTGCGCTCTAGTGATAAATTTATTTGATAACCTATATATATTTTAATAATTATATTTTGGAATATTTTCTTCAATGAGCACTGTTATGTCACCCGTAAAGGTATATATAATATATTAATCTTTCTTAGTGGAAATCGTATTAGAAATAACCAAGTATATTATTGCAGAAAGAAAGAGGGAGACAACATACTTAAAATTTAATAAAGAATTGCACTGCCATCAAGTTCCAAATATATATGATAGCATTATACATAACATATAATATTTTATGTTATATTATTAATATATATTATGCGTGCTTTATTCGTATGTTTATCTATCGAAAAAATTGTCTAAGGAAACAGAAATCTAATTTTCATATCTTAGCAGTTTTCGTTCTAAATTTCAATTAGAGCCGAAATTTTTTTAAATCCGTCTGATCTAAGTGGAGAATATTGTTGAACCTGACTTTATAGATATATAGATCTTAACTGACAGTCGGTCATCAGTTTAACAGCTAAATGATTGGAGAGAAATTAGGAACAGGGTTGGCATATCCATCCTGAACTTACTTCCTAAGCTTTCGGTTAATTCCGAGGTGCATATCCAGTGGATTTCCTCACATGTGTTCATTAGTGAAAAAGTGGCAAAGGCTGCTGCTTTAGAGACTTCCCAAGCAGATATACTTTTCATCTAGGTGTTCTCCGAGTGTGAGAAATCACTTAAGGACCTCCGGAATGTCCCTCTAGTATATGACTGGTACTTAAGGGTTCGCCTTACTTTTTTTTGGGAGGGGGGTGGCATAGAAGCCAGCAGACTAGCACATCACGTTTTGCCAGTGGACACTTGAGGAATATCTCCTATGAACAAAGGCAGAAAGTTTTTAAGACCTGCACCAAGTGTAATGCTGCTCAGGCATCCCCTGATTATATTTTATCTCGATTTTACCGTGGAAGAAGTTCTTCCGGTTACTGTTCTCTTTTTAGCCTTTTTAGAGGTATTTGGACTTGTGGAATTGGTATAAATGTTGGACCACTTCGGGGATTAAAAAAAAGAACCTTTTTTTCCATAAAGTAAAGAAGGCTTCTAATTTAAAATTTAAAATCAATTCGATAACCTTATATCAAACTATGCAAAAACTTTTACCGAAGCAAGGTTATTCTTACCTTAAGCTGCGAGTTTGCTCTTTCAAGAAGCTCAATTTTGTCCCCTAACTGTTTACTCTCAGCTTCTGCTCTTCTCTCCCATTCTTTTCGTAAGAGTTCATGCCGCGCTTCCTGAAGCTTCAACTGTCTCCTTAAATCTTCATTTTCAGTGGTTAGAAAGTCCAGCTAAAAGAAAGAAATTTGGGGTGTTTCTTGTTTCAAAAAATCGAATTAATTTTCAATAAATAAATTTTGGATAAAATATTTGTCAAAATTCAGTTCTAACAGAATCGGGAAAGAAACTGAACTGGTTGCAGTAGAAATTAGTGACTCATTATACACTAAATTAGGATAAAGAAGAAATAAGTGACTTGCTGCATAAAGAATTCAAGATATTTCATCTTCTTTCCTCAGGTCTTTCTCTGTTGAAAACCTGTGAAAAACTCAAAAACTAGTTGCTTCCCACATATCACACTTATTGCTTCTAATCTAACACTCAACAATAGTGACACTGAACAGAATGGCATTTAGGTATTTGCAATAAACTCTCATTACACTCTATACATTACGGAAAAATTAGTTTTTTTTAAGTTAGGAAAAATGAAAAAGTAGCCATATCCATGCCAGGACTCAAACTCTGGATCATCCAGATGCGAAAATGCCTTAAATTCGTATCTACGCAAAAAAAAACAAAAAAAAAAAAAAAAAAAAAAAAAAAAAAAAAGAGAGAGAGAGAGAGAGAGAAAGAGAAGCAGTTATAAAAACACTCTGGTAAGTAAATAAAAAATTACAAACATCAGAAACCTTAGCTCTGTCTCGCTCTGTCTTGCAATCCAAAAATCTCAGCTTAAATACTCTCTAACTCATTTACCTCTCCGGTAAGGAAACGGATAGGAGAAGTTTTAGTAAAGGCTGAAATTATAAATAGCTGTTAAATTCAAAATAATAGTAACCTTATAAGGCTATCCATCATAAGCGAAAAAGTATGAAATAATTCTCCAAATGTTCATGAAATATATTTATCGACAATAATTTTCATTCTTAAAAAGCATTTTTATTTGTAAATCTGTTAAGTTTAATAATCAGTTTTAATTAAATTCTACTATACGTATATAGTTTTCGTTAAATTTTAGTATTCTTTGCTGCTTTTAGAGCTCAACTCTTCTCTTATATACAAACTTAAATAGAATTTAAAAAATAACAGCCGGGGTGAAATTATAACCTAACAGCAGACAGTAGCCTGGAACGTAAAGCTGTGCGATTCTAACGAATTTCAGTATTTGCGTAGCTTTGTCAACAGATTCAGATAGGTAAAGATTAAGCAGAGAAATGGGCTTTACGTCGCTTTCCAAAGTTAATTAAATTTACTAGATAGAACTTTGAGTCTCAGTATCAGTTGTTAGTTCATTTACCAATCTTTTGACAAAGATCAGAACAACATGAAACTAGATCTCATCTTCTGTCACTAAACATGTAATCAGTATTTTAGTGTCTTCCAAACACAAAAGGTCTTTAATTTAATTATGTTTCTCATTGTGAACTGTAACGTTCAAGAATTATTAGTTAGCTGTTGCGTTATTTTTCTAAAATACAATTAATTCACTTTTGTTGAAACGAAATATTGCCTACGATATCGCGTTTCTTAGTCTGATCTGAAAAGGGGCGAGCTAATTACATATTAAAGACAAGAATCCATTATTTAGAGCTATAATCTATTATATAAGAATTGAAGTACCTTTAAACATCAGCAGTGGTAAAATGATTTAAAAAACTCAACGATGGTGTATTACATATATATTTATTTTTACATGTACTCTCATAATAAAATTTCTAAATTATTACAATTTACACAAGACTATCACTATCTAAGAAACCTTAAAATCTATTTTCAATCTATCTTATTTTTTCCACTTATTTTCATTTAAGTTAATACCACTTATTTGTGTTAAGTTTTCATTAACGAATAAATGTTAATTTAAGTGTACTGATAAATTATTAAGTAACTGGCATACATTACAGATAATGTTTTTCGAGAATATTACTTTTTCTATTATATCCATTTTTCCTCTCTCAGACGTAAGTGCTTTCCGAATACCGAATGCTACACCGCTATCATACAGTGTCTCATATGCAGCAAGGCTCATTCTCAACTCGTCTCGCACTCGAACGAAAAGAAGTCCACGCTCCATGCAGTTAAGTGTTTCTTGGCGAATAAGTTCATCTGTAACACAAGGAAAGAAATAAAGGGGGAGGGGAAAAAGCGCTTTTAATAAGTGCATAAAAATAGGTATAAAAGGAGTTTTTTAAAACGAAACTAAGAAGTTTTGAGTAAAATTTTGGCAATGACATAAATGCAAAAAAAGCGTAACATACTTATAAAGTAGACCAAAGGTTCTCACATAATGTTGATGGAACTTCAACGAAAGTTCCACGAATATAATTTTAATCATAAAAGTGTCAGAAATTCATAAGTATTTCATTTGTTTTACATATGCATAACACTACTTCTTAACTCTTACTTATTTTTGTTTGAGAAAAACGTAAACTCTTTTACAGTTTTATGTCGGAAACACATTAAAAATTTGCTTTAAGAATATTTATTGAAAAGTGAGAGAGAGGATGCATGACGATTAAATCTATCATTTGTACTTACCCCCCCCCTCCGTTTTTTTAACGGCAATGACAGCGATGACTATTGAATGGATTGATTGAGTTCCTTTATTTATTACCTCTGTAAATAAAGACAGCACGGCTCCCAAATTATACGTATATTATTTGGGGGGCAAATACGTAATACATTCATATATCCAACATATACGTAATATTGCCTGGGAAGTGTTTCTCCTGTATAAAATACAAGTAACATAGCTAGAAGAAACGTAAAATGTTCAGATGTTTTCATTCAAAGTTGCCAAAAAGATAACTTTTAAGTCCTTACTTGTAAAGTCCTTTTAGTTGCTATAAAAATGAAAAAGATAATGCTGGAAAATCTAAATTTATTCTGAGTGTTCAGATTTAAGATTTTTAAGCAAATTGGAGATGCACAATGGTATTTACGGTACATGAAGAGCATTAACACTTTTAACCCCTAAAAAAAAGAAAAATGTATCGAGAAAGGTGTGGTAATTTTGTTTGGATTCTGTAAAACATTTAAATAATACAAAAATTAAGAGTATCTTTTTGAAATGTTGAACGGGCCTAGCCGTAGGTGCTCTTCTTTATTTTTGCTGCATACAACGTAAATTCAAGCTAGGTTTCTTTATAAAGTTTTCACAAGCTCATAGATTTCAAGCTAAAAATTCCAAGCTAAAATCTGTGTATAATATGGTCTTTTATTTACCTTAAAAGGTTATAGATTTCGTTTTAAGAATTTTTAGGGAATACTTTGTGTTAGTTATGTCAGTATTTCTCAAAACTTTTGGAGCCTCTGATTAATATTCATCTCTCAAGAAATTTTTATGTAATGATTCTAAAATAATTTATACATCTGCATATTTTTCGCTTTAATCCCGGAATATCTAATGCTTTCTTCTGTGATACTAGGGTTCCGGGAAAAATCGGATGAGAAACGCTGATCTACATAAAAATAGGCAGCAAAATTTCATTGAAATATTTAATTTTGAATGTTATAAAATGCTATATATGACATAAATATATTTAAACAACAGTTGTGGTCAACAGCTTACCGAAACACTGATCATATAGTTCTCTTCTGATGGGGCATATTCCAATTTCACGAGCATTGCGCTCTATCAGACGACTGTCCAATTTTTCAGAGAGGTTAACTACATCTAATCTTGTAGCTGGTGTTCTCGAAACGGGTTGAATCCATAGCTTTCCATCTTCTTCATATTCCCTTTAAACACAGCAAAAATGATCACTCATTTTCAGTTTCGTATTATGCTGAAGTAGAATTACAATTAAACCTCTCTTAAATGAGCCTACATGGTTTCAGATAATTTCGGAGAATATTATTTGTAGGGAATTTTACATAAATTTATCAGTTATTTATAATTTCCTTCTTTATTATAACTTCTCCTTTCCGTATTCCTCATCATAATACAAATGATAACGAGGTTTAAACTGAGGTTTTTAATTATGAAACAGAATGTGTTTCAGGCATCGCGTGCGCGCTACATTGTTAGTTTCCTGTATTGTTAGTTTGATAGTTATAATCAGGCAGAGTAGAGTTAATGAGGCAGTTCTAGTAATATTAAATTGTGGAGTCATTGCCTCCTGTTTCAACGTTTGATTTAATTTGGGCTGTTCTGTTTTATGTTGCGTCACCATGAATTGTGGAAACTGTAGCACTAGAGAGTGCCTTTATGTTATAAATTCTTTTAAAATAAAACTAAATTAAACCTGCTCAACTTTATAATCAATACTACGCTTCCCGTCTGTTATAGACTAAAATAGCATTACCAGATCTAGTGTAACCCTATAAACTCTGATATCGATAATGCTAAATGCAGTTATTTACGGTCTTAGAATTTTTTATCACCTTCAGAAATGGTAGTGTTTTAGGGAAGTTTCACTCTATTTGCATCTATACCACGTTCCTCAATAACATAGCCAAAAAACTAAGAGAAAGAGAAGGTTCAATCTCGGCAGCTTTAAAATCTGCCTAATACAATTTTTTGTCTAATTCACTGTTTAAGTTAATTTTTAGAAGACTGATAAATAGATGGCTAGTATATTGTCAGCATTTGTTGAATGAAATAATAATATGGATTGAAGAAAAATGTTATCCAAATGAATCTTGATTTATAGACTTATCTTTGAATGAAGCTGCTAAGGCCTTTTTTGACAAACAACTGGAGTTATTCTTAAAACAATTCCACCTCTTTCAAAGATTAACATGAAATTACCCAAAGTGATATCAAGAACTTGAAGATGATATAAACACAGCAAGCAAATTTTGTGTTTTAAACAGACTTTTCATGATCAGCTTATACACATTCATAAATATTCTATTACGGATTGTTAATTAAATATTTTAATAGATAACTAAAGTTAAATTTGCAAGATCTATCATTTTTAGCTATCATGCAATGTAACTAGATCTCAATGTCCAGCCTGGCGACTTCTCGCACAGACGTGAAGATGAACACAACAGGGAAAGGGTGTGAAAAGCCTTTTTTATGAAGCACAACTCTTTCAGAATGGCACGGTCTTGCGTACGGTAAGAGCACCGACTGCTTGCGGTGAAGATAATTTAACAATAAATTCAAAAGGTAAGAAGTAGTGCTAGAGTATACAATTGACTTTAATCTAACAGTCTAATTCAGTAACCTACACCGAAGATATACTGACTAGACAGACAGAATGTGTAGCCGCTACTAAGATTTACAGTTGGAGGAGAAAAAAATAATATTGTAAAGCAATTTAAATGATATTGAAAAATCCAGTCAATGTGTCAATGAGTTACAAGTTTACTTTGATTATCTCAGTAAAAGTGTTGTAAATATGAATTCAGATAATGTTTAAATGTACACATAACTGTCATGATTTTATGTAACTATCACACGTAACTTGTACAAGACAATGTTTGTAATCAACATGTCTATGCTTATACACAGGCCTTGTATGTCCATGTAATATTTATATTTATATTTTTACACGGAGGAAATATTCCCTTCTGACAGAATGACTATTAACACTGTAAGACATGGTTATCTCAGGCGGCGCTCAGCTGGAGGAGCAAACGTGAGCTACACTGGCGAAATCACGCTCTGTCTAACCTTCATATTTCACCCATTTAAATACTCTTGTTCACCTACTTAATTTGAATCCTGGCGAGAAAATGCAAGGCGAAATAAGAGAATTCAGAAAAGGTACCAAAATTAAAATAACTGGTGAACTAAGGGACCCTAAAAATGGCCTCTTCAAATTTTGCGTTTCAAAGGTTTAATTGGATAACATTTCCCAAAGCTACCTGTTAAATGAGTAAGAAATCCATGGAATATTTTCATAAACGTCAAATTGCGGTTTTCATCGAAGACTGAAAAGCAATGCATTGAATTGTAAAATATAATTGTACGCAAATTCTAATTTTAGTGAAAATCATTTATCTGTTTCGAAGCAACAGGCAATTTTTAACATTAGAATATTTTAATTTGATAATTCTTGTTGACAGTTTTTATAAAAAAATTACAGCTTCTGGATGACTAAACAGAGCACTAATTAAAATTAATAACATATTATTAATTTTATACTCCTATAATTATATGCTCCTATAATTAATAGAATATTTTAATTTGATAATTCTTGTTGACAGTTGTTATAAAAAATTACAGCTTCTGGATGACTAAACAGAACACTAATTAAAATTAATAACTTGTTATATTTTAGAATCAAACACAATGAACCTTTGCTGATCGTGGATTTGCTGAACGCGATTTCGCATATACGTGATCTCTTAATTGCTTGTATTTAATTTGGACAAAGTTAAAATTTCATTCAAACGTAGATCAGCGTTCATTCATTAAACACTGGTTTAATGCTGGCGTCAGCACTGGCCCGAAGTTATCATCAATTTCAAAAGTTTTCCATCGACTGAAAATGAAGCAAAAGAAATCGTAGAAATTACAAAAGCAACTGGCCGCCAGTGATTTTCAGATAGGTAAAAGGTCAAAAAATTAATCTAGAAATAACGAATGATCTCATAACACACCAGCCGACAGTAAAACGGTGATAATGAAGGAGATAAAAGGCCTTTAACTTACAAAAAGTTAAACGAATTTTTAAAAAAAGACTTAAGAATTGTCTGATTTTGCGACGAAGATTGACCCAGATGAAGAAAGGAAAGGACGCTGTAGGACAGGCATTAAAAAAATCTGCTCACTGCCGCGAAATTTTTAAAGATTTGCATCAGTCATTGTCCCAAGCCAAAATCACTAGCTTTTTTAAAAACATAATTGTATAACGTAACTATTGAACTTCAGTTAACATTTGTTTCGTATTTTTCTCTTAATTGCAAAAATATTTGGTTAGTTTACATATACTATATATACATACTTTATACATACTTTCTTAATCTAAACTATACATGACACATTTTTAGTTATACATACTTTCTTAATCTAAATTATACATGACACATTTTTACCATAGAACATTAACTTTGCAGACAGCGACTTTGCCGTACGCGCAGAATGTTAATTACGTTTAACCCCCGCGTTCTCCGGTTTACTGTTAAGTGCCAGTCAACTATCAATTTAGAATGTTTATAAACCTATTAGATAGTATCAGAATAATTTTTATGGTCTCTCATTTTTAATTTTCTGAAAATATGATATGAACCGAAACATCATGCTTTCTTTACCCAAAGGCATTTTTGACTACCTAAAACGATATTACATATATATCGGCAAGTTCATTATCTTTAATTCATTAATTGTTAGTATAATTTTAATCGCATTTTATCTTGAAATTAAATGAATGAAAATTTCAATGACCATTTCATTTGATTCTGAATAACTGATAAAATTTTAGCGTATTTAATTATAAAATAAAATTAGTAATTCACTGAATGCCTAATCATAGGTATTTGAAAAGTGTTCCTACAAAGAATAATAAGTCAAGTTAATAATTTTTTTAACAATTTTCTTGAGTAAATTTTTACTATGTAAAATGTGACTGAATTATACCCTATCCGTTATGTTCACAGTTTCACTGTGCCGATTAAAGATTAATGCAGTATTCCAGGTCCGGAGTAATAATGCTGAAGTGCAAAATTTTCGGAGGTGAAAACAAAAATTCTCGACTCAGTCATGTAGATTCTTCATGTAATTCTTACCCACAGTTACTAAATGTAGAACTGTTTCGTCATCTCTCATCAGAAAGTGGAAGACGCAGATAGTTCTACTAGGAAAAAAAAATTAAGAGATAAGAACCGGTCTTCTCTGTGTTACAATGGAATGCCATGTACAGATTCCGGAACCTTGAAGAGGCTCTGCTTGTTACATTAGAAAAAATGTACTATCTAGGTCAAGAACAAGCGATACGAGTTGGATTTTTCTAATTTTCTTGAGTGTCTATCTAGTAAACATTTGTATTATTTCCAAATCATTTAGAAATTTAACCTAGAAAACAAGGAAAAAATTCTGTGCTTTGTATTTTTTAACTTGTTTTTATTCTTATAAAATATCAATTGACATTAATTTTCATCTTTACAAAACAGGCGTTATATTAAAAAGTTTAAAATATTTTTCACGAAATGAAACAAATGAACATTTCATTTGTTTTCATGGGTTTGATAATTCTTCAATATGGGTAACAGAGGTTTCTTTTTGCTTTTCGATGATGACTCCTAGTAATTACTTTTAGCAATTAAACTTTCAAAATAAATGTTCAAGCAAATATATGTAGGATGTTCCATCAAACCGCCCAAACTCTGCTTAACCAGATTCCTCGTTTGGAATATGTAAAAAATCCCTACGATACATAGTTTTCGAAATAAATGCGGAAAGAAGTATGACGTTATATCCGATGCAAGAAACATGGCTTCATGGCTTCATGCAAGAAAATGGCAAAAATGGCTTCATGGCTTCCACATATCTTGTTGAGGAATGAAGCATGCTTCACAGGTGATGGGGGTGACTCAATATCCATAAATGCTCAGAATCCAATCCCCATGTAATCCGCTTGAAGAGAGATCAGGTCCGCTGGTCTGAAATGTGTTGGCAGTCATTTTAAACAATCGCATGATTGGACTATACCTGCTGCCTGAACGATTCACGGGATATTCATACTTGTTATTTTTCCATGATGTATTAACCGATTTCCGAAATGCCCTACCCTTAGCGGCAGTTCATGACCTAAGATTCCAGCATTTTAGCGCGCCTGTACGTGATT